ATTCTAATGACTTACTTTGTTTTGTTTTGCCACTGACGGTTTACCGCGTGGGTTTGTTTGCCGGAATGTCATATTTGTAATATGTTGATGCTAGTAAGCATCCCTCGAATTAATAGATGTTTTATTTAATTTCATTGTTTAATTATTATTATTTTTAAAAACAAATTTATTTAAAATTTTAATTAAAAAATAACATATATTTTTATTGATATTTTATTTATTTAATTTTTAAAAATTAAATTTATTTAATTGTGTAAAAAAATAAAATAAAATATTTTTATTTAATCTAACTAAAAATAATTAAAATATGAAAGATATGTTTAATATTTCTATTACTTAATAAACAATAGAAAAAGGGTAAAATAGTCTTTTGTTCATTTATCCTATCCAGTCCGTCCAACCAAACGTTGGATTCACTGAAAATAGTCATTTCCAGACATCTAATCCCATGAAAAAAACAAACACATGATACATATCCAATCCAATCAAATAGTCCGGGGGATTCACAGCTTCAAGACTCAAGTCCGATGGATTCTAATCCCCCCTTATCCAGTCCGTCCACCCTATAAGTGTAGTTATTGTCCGTCACCCTTGGGGGGATTAGGCAGGGGGGATTATTCATTGTTCGGATTGCTTAGCCGAAGGAATGAATAGTCCATTGTTTGTTTTTTTTTTAGTTCACCGGACTCCTTATCCTCCATATAGGGGATTATACTATCCTAGGGGAGGGTGTGGGACAATTTTAGAGGAACTATTTACTATTGGGATTAGGTGGTAAAATGACCATTTTAACCCTCTACTATTTAATTATGTATTATATTTAGTAAAATTTAATAAAATTTAAATGTCTCAATTTAAAAATAAAATAATTTTATTTAACCTTTTATTGATGTTTTATTTTTTTTTTTTAAATATTTTTTATAGATATTTTATTGATGTTTTATTTTAAAATTTTGTTTATATTTTATTTAATTTCATTATTTAAATTTTCATAGATGTTTTATTTAATTTCATTGTTTAATTATTATTATTTTTAAAAACATATTTATTTAAAATTTTAATTAAAAAATAACATATATTATTATTGATATTTTATTTATTTAATTAAAAAAATAAATTTATTTAATTGTGTAAAAAATAAAATAAAATAAATTTTTATTTAATCTAACTAAAATAATTAAAATATTAAAGATATGTTTAATATTGCTATTACTTAGTAAATAATTGAAAAGTGGTAAAATATTTTTTTGTTCATTTATCCTATTCAGTCCGTCCAACCAAACGTTGGATTCACTAAAAATAGTCATTTCCAGCCATCTTATCCCATGAAAAAATAAACACAGGATACATATCCAATCAAATCAAATAATCCGGGGGATTCACAGTCTCAGGACTTAAGTCCAATAGATTCTAATCCTCCATTATCCAGTCCGTCCAATCAAACACAATTGTTGTGTGTGTGTGAGTGTGTGTGTGTGTGTTTTTTTTTTTTTTGATTTCTTGTGATGTATGGATTAAATTTTCTTTTTGTTAAAAATTGTATAATTAATAAATTTATTTTATAGATCTTGAATTTTGAGATCGTTTACAAATTCATGACATAGTTTATAATTTTACTTTTTAATATTTATAAAATTTATCATTAATTTTTCAAACATCAACTGATTTGAAATTACCCCTATCTTTTTTCTCGAAAAATACAAAATCAAAACAACAGCTTAAGCACATATTATGCTATCAATTCAATAACCCTAAAGCAATAAAATTTATAAATCAATTACGAAGAAAATACACAAAATCTAAATTCGATTAATCTATGAAGAAAAGTAAAGAATTTTCAAAGGGCACACACCTCTTAATTTGATTCTTTGTAGATCGATCGATCGAATTGGGGGAGTGGGGAGAGAGGAGAGAGAAATACGGACAACAAGTTCTTTTCTAGCAGACTTTTTCACGTGAGAGAGAAACAAATACATGCAAACGACGCCGTTTATGATGTCCTGTATATATAGTGCTTTTCCTTTTCGTTATGTATCACACTCTAAAAGTTTATTTATTTATTTATTTTTTCTAAAGAAATTATATCACCATACCTTTTCCATTTACCTATAAAGTCTTACATAAACTTAGTTTCAATTATAATAATCAATTTTATATAGATTATATTTCATAAATACTTATTTTTTATATATTTTTTATCGTGTATTTAGTTTTGTCGTTGTCAGATTTCTTTTCTTTAGTTGATATTTTAATTTAATTATTATGATATTTAAAAAAAATTATCTCGATATACAAATAAATAAATAAATAAGACAGAATGTGTTTATTTATGTGTATCGTACAGATCAAATTAATTTTCTTTTACATTATATATATTTTTTATCTATCTTATTGATGTCTTAATATTAATTTATATTTAATTTTTTATTTAACATGAAATTATTTATTACAAAACATTTATATTTAATTTAAATTTTATATACATATATACAATGTGTATGAATAATTCAAAAATAATATTAAAGAAAAGAAAATCAAAGGAGATTGACCAATAAGTCTCATATTTTGAAATTGTAATCCATATAGTCTCATATTTTTTCTTGTGATCCATTTAGTCCTTTTGGATATGTAAT